AGAGAGAGAGAGAGAGAGAGAGAGAGAGAGAGAGAGAGAGAGAGAGAGAGAGAGAGAGAGAGAGACAGAGAGAGAGAGAGAGAGAGAGAGAGAGAGAGAGAGAGAGAGAGAGAGAGAGAGAGAGAGAGAGAGAGAGAGAGAGAGAGAGAGAGAGAGAGAGAGAGAGAGAGAGAGAGGAGAGAGAGAGAGAGAGAGAGAGAGAGAGAGAGACAGAGAGAGAGACAGAGAGAGAGAGAGAGAGAGAGAGAGAGAGAGAGAGAGAGAGAGAGAGAGAGAGAGAGAGAGAGAGAGAGAGAGAGAGAGAGAGAGAGAGAGAAAGTGAGAGAGAAGACATGGCAGGTCACATATGTGGCAGACAAAACACAGACGAGGATGATAACTAGACGACACATTGCAAATCGGACATACTTGCAAATGGGCAATAGAAACCTAAAGTTCACAGAAGAAACTGGCATTCTGGGAATTAAGTTCGAATTTTCCAATGACAATAAAGAGCTACGTGCTTAACCTAGCCCATAAGTAGTGGCTAAACCTTCCCCATGAGCTAAGGAAAGCTCTCGGCCTACTAACAGGCGTCACCAGCACTCTGTGCCCACCAGCCCATAAAAAAGGATCATTTTCCCGCCTTCACAACGTGCCCGTCGCGCCCAAACATTTCCAGGTAATGATTCGTCGTCTCCCTTATAATGGCGACGGTTTGAGGCGCTCCAGTCAAGGAGGACTTGGACCCCGACCACACCACAGGATATTGTTTCTGAACCTTAAGCGTTCCCAGCAACACCCAGCAGAACATGATCACCACCACACAACACCCAGCAGAACATGACCACCACCACCACACAACACCCAGCAGAACATGACCACCACACAACACCCAGCAGAACATGACCACCACACAACACCCAGCAGAACATGACCACCACACAACACCCAGCAGAACATGACCACCACACAACACCCAGCAGAACATGACCACCACACAACACCCAGCAGAACATGACCACCACACAACACCCAGCAGAACATGACCACCACACAACACCCAGCAGAACATGACCACCACACAACACCCAGCAGAACATGACCACCACCACACAACACCCAGCAGAACATGACCACCACCACCACACAACACCCAGCAGAACATGACCACCACCACACAACACCCAGCAGAACATGACCACCACCACCACACAACACCCAGCAGAACATGACCACCACCACCACACAACACCCAGCAGAACATGACCACCACACAACACCCAGCAGAACATGACCACCACCACCACACAACACCCAGCAGAACATGACCACCACCACCACACAACACCCAGCAGAACATGACCACCACCACAACACCCAGCAGAACATGACCACCACCACAACACCCAGCAGAACATGACCAGCACAACACCCAGCAGAACATGACCACCACCACACAACACCCAGCAGAACATGACCACCACACAACACCCAGCAGAACATGACCACCACACAACACCCAGCAGAACATGACCACCACAACCACAACACCCAGCAGAACATGACCACCACACAACACCCAGCAGAACATGACCACCACCACCACACAACACCCAGCAGAACATGACCACCACACAACACCCAGCAGAACATGACCAGCACAACACCCAGCAGAACATGACCACCACCACCACACAACACCCAGCAGAACATGACCACCACACAACACCCAGCAGAACATGACCAGCACAACACCCAGCAGAACATGACCACCACCACACAACACCCAGCAGAACATGACCACCACACAACACCCAGCAGAACATGACCACCACACAACACCCAGCAGAACATGACCACCACCACCACACAACACCCAGCAGAACATGACCACCACCACCACACAACACCCAGCAGAACATGACCACCACACAACACCCAGCAGAACATGACCACCACCACCACACAACACCCAGCAGAACATGACCACCACACAACACCCAGCAGAACATGACCACCACACAACACCCAGCAGAACATGACCACCACCACCACACAACACCCAGCAGAACATGACCACCACCACCACACAACACCCAGCAGAACATGACCACCACCACAACACCCAGCAGAACATGACCACCACACAACACCCAGCAGAACATGACCACCACCACCACACAACACCCAGCAGAACATGACCACCACCACCACACAACACCCAGCAGAACATGACCTCCACCACAACACCCAGCAGAACATGACCACCACACAACACCCAGCAGAACATGACCACCACCACCACACAACACCCAGCAGAACATGACCACCACCACAACACCCAGCAGAACATGACCACCACACAACACCCAGCAGAACATGACCACCACTACCACACAACACCCAGCAGAACATGACCACCACACAACACCCAGCAGAACATGACCACCACACAACACCCAGCAGAACATGACCACCACCACACCCAGCAGAACATGACCACCACACAACACCCAGCAGAACATGACCACCACCACCACACAACACCCAGCAGAACATGACCACCACCACAACACCCAGCAGAACATGACCACCACACAACACCCAGCAGAACATGACCACCACACAACACCCAGCAGAACATGACCACCACCACCACACAACACCCAGCAGAACATGACCACCACACAACACCCAGCAGAACATGACCACCACCACCACACAACACCCAGCAGAACATGACCACCACCACAACACCCAGCAGAACATGACCACCACCACACCCAGCAGAACATGACCACCACACAACACCCAGCAGAACATGACCACCACCACCACACAACACCCAGCAGAACATGACCACCACACAACACCCAGCAGAACATGACCACCACCACCACACAACACCCAGCAACACCCAGCAACACCCAGCAACACCCAGCAGAACATGACCACCACCACACAACACCCAGCAGAACATGACCACCACACAACACCCAGCAGAACATGACCACCACACAACACCCAGCAGAACATGACCACCACCACACAACACCCAGCAGAACATGACCACCACCACCACAACACCCAGCAACACCCAGCAACACCCAGCAACACCCAGCAGAACATGACCACCACCACACAACACCCAGCAGAACATGACCACCACACAACACCCAGCAGAACATGACCACCACACAACACCCAGCAGAACATGACCACCACCACACAACACCCAGCAGAACATGACCACCACCACACAACACCCAGCAGAACATGACCACCACACAACACCCAGCAGAACATGACCACCACACAACACCCAGCAGAACATGACCACCACCACACAACACCCAGCAGAACATGACCACCACCACCACAACACCCAGCAGAACATGACCACCACCACACAACACCCAGCAGAACATGATCACCACCACACAACACCCAGCAGAACATGACCACCACACAACACCCAGCAGAACATGACCACCACACAACACCCAGCAGAACATGACCACCACCACCACACAACACCCAGCAGAACATGACCACCACACAACACCCAGCAGAACATGACCACCACCACACAACACCCAGCAGAACATGACCACCACCACACAACACCCAGCAGAACATGACCACCACACAACACCCAGCAGAACATGACCACCACACAACACCCAGCAGAACATGACCACCACCACCACACAACACCCAGCAGAACATGACCACCACACAACACCCAGCAGAACATGACCACCACCACACAACACCCAGCAGAACATGACCACCACCACCACAACACCCAGCAGAACATGACCACCACCACCACAACACCCAGCAGAACATGACCACCACACAACACCCAGCAGAACATGACCACCACACAACACCCAGCAGAACATGACCACCACACAACACCCAGCAGAACATGACCACCACACAACACCCAGCAGAACATGACCACCACACAACACCCAGCAGAACATGACCACCACCACCACACAACACCCAGCAGAACATGACCAGCCGTCAAGGCGTGAGAGTGAGCAGCGACCCCAGGAGGGAGCGTGAAGGTGATGACAGTGTCAAGCCACACTGACCATAAGGAACACCAGCCCGCCTCCTCCCCCACCACTCACGCCCTTCTTGCTCCAACAAGTTATACCACTATAGTTCACCCAAGTAAAAAAAAAAATTCTTAAGTGTGAGAATCTTCGTTGGTGACCTGGCGGTGGGCCGAGTACATGCACGGGCTCTCGGCCGAGTACAGGCACGGGCTCTCGGCCGAGTACAGGCACGGGCTCTCGGCCGAGTACAGGCACGGGCTCTCGGCCGAGTACAGGCACGGGCTCTCGGCCGAGTACAGGCACGGGCTCTCGGCCGAGTACATGCACGGGCTCTTGGCCGAGTACAGGCACGGGCTCTCGGCCGAGTACATGCACGGGCTCTTGGCCGAGTACAGGCACGGGCTCTCGACCGAGTACATGCACGAGCTCTCGGCCGAGTACATGCACGAGCTCTCGGCCGAGTACAGGCACGAGCTCTCGACCGAGTACAGGCACGGGCTCGCGGCCGAGTACAGGCACGGGCTCTCGGCCGAGTACAGGCACGAGCTCTCGGCCGAGTACATGCACGGGCTCTTGGCCGAGTACAGGCACGGGGTCTCGGCCGAGTACAGGCACGGGCTCTCGGCCGAGTACAGGCACGGGCTCTTGGCCGAGTACAGGCACGGGCTCTCGGCCGAGTACAGGCACGGGCTCTTGGCCGAGTACAGGCACGGGCTCTCGGCCGAGTACAGGCACGGGCTCTCGGCCGAGTACAGGCACGGGCTCTTGGCCGAGTACAGGCACGGGGTCTCGGCCGAGTACAGGCACGGGCTCTCGGCCGAGTACAGGCACGGGCTCTTGGCCGAGTACAGGCACGGGGTCTCGGCCGAGTACAGGCACGGGCTCTCGGCCGAGTACAGGCACGGGCTCTAGGCCGAGTACAGGCACGGGCTCTTGGCCGAGTACATGCACGGGCTCTCGACCCAGTACAGGTACGGGCTCTCGACTCAGTACAGGCACGGGGTCTCGGCCGAGTACAGGCACGGGCTCTCGGCCGAGTACATGCACGAGCTCTCGGCCGAGTACAGGCACGGGCTCTCGGCCGAGTACAGGCACGGGCTCTCGGCCGTGTACAGGCACGGGCTCTTGGCCGAGTACAGGCACGGGCTCTCGGCCGAGTACAGGCACGGGCTCTCGGCCGAGTACAGGCACGGGCTCTCGGCCGTGTACAGGCACGGGCTCTTGGCCGAGTACAGGCACGGGCTCTCGGCCGAGTACAGGCACGGGCTCTCGGCCGAGTACATGCACGAGCTCTCGGCCGAGTACAGGCACGAGCTCTCGACCGAGTACAGCCACGGGCTCTCGGCCTAGTACAGGCACGAGCTCTCGACCGAGTACAGCCACGGGCTCTCGGCCTAGTACAGGCACGGGCTCTCGACCCAGTACAGGTACGGGCTCTCGACTCAGTACAGGCACGGGCTCTTGGCCGAGTACAGGCACGGGCTCTTGGCCGAGTACAGGCACGGACTCTCGGCCAAGTACAGGCACGGGCTCTAGGCCGAGTACAGGCACGGGCTCTTGGCCGAGTACATGCACGAGCTCTCGGCCTAGTACAGCCACGAGCTCTCGACCCAGCACAGGAAGGAACTAGCCAAAGGAGGATGCGGTCTCGCTTGAGTATAGGCTATAAACAAGTATCAGATCAACCAGGACTCTCTATGCCACACATTCTGTAGCTTCCCGTACATGTCTGTGTTACACAACACATTCTGTGCCGCCTGCCCCTCCCACTAACTCCTCCATCACACTAACCTGTGCCGCCTGCCCCTCCCACTAACTCCTCCATCACACTAACCTGTGCCGCCTGCCCCTCCCACTAACTCCTCCATCACACTAACCTGTGCCGCCTGCCCCTCCCACTAACTCCTCCATCACACTAACCTGTGCCGCCTGCCCCTCCCACTAACTCCTCCATCACACTAACCTGTGCCGCCTGCCCCTCCCACTAACTCCTCCATCACACTAACCTGTGCCGCCTGCCCCTCCCACTAACTCCTCCATCACACTAACCTGTGCCGCCTGCCCCTCCCACTAACTCCTCCATCACACTAACCTGTGCCGCCTGCCCCTCCCACTAACTCCTCCATCACACTAACCTGTGCCGCCTGCCCCTCCCACTAACTCCTCCATCACACTAACCTGTGCCGCCTGCCCCTCCCACTAACTCCTCCATCACACTAACCTGTGCCGCCTGCCCCTCCCACTAACTCCTCCATCACACTAACCTGTGCCGCCTGCCCCTCCCACTAACTCCTCCATCACACTAACCTGTGCCGCCTGCCCCTCCCACTAACTCCTCCATCACACTAACCTGTGCCGCCTGCTTCTCCCACTAACTCCTCCATCACACTAACCTGTGCCGCCTGCCCCTCCCACTAACTCCTCCATCACACTAACCTGTGCCGCCTGCCCCTCCCACTACACCACTAAACATCTTAGTGACGGGGTAACGGGTGTGTGTCTCCTCCATATTACTCTCAAGACAACACCCGCACTCAGTGTTCTTACCAACACCAAGACGCTCTTACTCAAGACTCTCAAGTTGCTCTTACCAACACCAAGACGCTCGGTCTGCAAGGGTAAGAATTCACCTAAATCTTACTCTTAATTGTTTAAGTGCAGGAAGAGCGGCTTTGTGGCATGGTTACTTGCAGATTACATATTATATATATATATATATATATATATATATTTTATTAAATATGACCGAAAAAGTAAGATTAATAATTCTAACACGAATTTTCTCAATCTTTCGTACATTATGCTTCACTGTTGGAGGTAAATCAAAAATCACTTCTCCAAAATTCATTTTTATTTCTAGTCTGACGCGACACGGGCGCGTTTCGTAAAACTTATTACATTTTCAAAGACTTCACAAATACACAACTGATTAGAACTTGCGTTTCCCTGATTTTATATCTACATTTGAGTGAGGTGGGAAGGATGATGTGGCATTAGAGGATATTAATAGGGTATTAAAAGTATCAACACAAGACAGAACACGAAACAATGGATATTGAATAGAAGTGTTTGTAGAAAGCCTATTGGTCCATATTTCTTGATGCTTCTATATTGGAGCGGAGTCTTGAGGTGGGTAGAATATAGTTGTGCAATAATTGGCTGTTGATTGCTGGTGTTGACTTCTTGATGTGTAGTGCCTCGCAAACGTCAAGCCGCCTGCTATCGCTGTATCTATCGATGATTTCTGTGTTGTTTACTAGGATTTCTCTGGCGATGGTTTGGTTATGGGAAGAGATTATATGTTCCTTAATGGAGCCCTGTTGTTTATGCATCGTTAAACGCCTAGAAAGAGATGTTGTTGTCTTGCCTATATACTGGGTTTTTTGGAGCTTACAGTCCCCAAGTGGGCATTTGAAGGCATAGACGACGTTAGTCTCTTTTAAAGCGTTCTGTTTCGTGTCTGGAGAGTTTCTCATGAGTAGGCTGGCCGTTTTTCTGGTTTTATAGTAAATCGTCAGTTGTATCCTCTGATTTTTGTCTGTAGGGATAACGTTTCTATTAACAATATCTTTCAGGACCCTTTCCTCTGTTTTATGAGCTGTGGAAAAGAAGTTCCTGTAAAATAGTCTAATAGGGGGTATAGGTGTTGTGTTAGTTGTCTCTTCGGAGGTTGCATGGCTTTTCACTTTCCTTCTTATGATGTCTTCGATGAAACCATTGGAGAAGCCGTTATTGACTAGAACCTGCCTTACCCTACAGAGTTCTTCGTCGACTTGCTTCCATTCTGAGCTGTGGCTGAGAGCACGGTCGACGTATGCGTTAACAACACTCCTCTTGTACCTGTCAGGGCAGTCGCTGTTGGCATTTAGGCACATTCCTATGTTTGTTTCCTTTGTGTAGACTGCAGTGTGGAAACCTCCGCCCTTTTCCATGACTGTTACATCTAGAAAAGGCAGCTTCCCATCCTTTTCCGTCTCGTAAGTGAAACGCAGCACGGAACTCTGCTCAAATGCCTCCTTCAGCTCCTGCAGATGTCTGACATCAGGTACCTGTGTAAAAATGTCGTCAACATACCTGCAGTATATGGCCGGTTTCAAGTTCATGTCGACTAAGACTTTTTGCTCGATGGTACCCATGTAGAAGTTTGCAAACAGGACACCTAGGGGAGAACCCATAGCGACCCCATCTACTTGCTTATACATATGCCCATCCGGGCTCAAGAAGGGTGCCTCTTTAGTACAAGCTTGGAGTAGTTTCCTCAGAATACTTTCTGGCATGTCAAGAGGAGTACAGGCTGGATCACGATACACTCTGTCGGCTATCATTCCGATTGTCTCGTCCACAGGTACGTTGGTAAACAGCGATTCTACGTCCAACAAACTGATCGAAACTGTGAACGCCAAGAAATCCGGACTCCACCTGCCAAAGATCATTGGGGAATATAAACCTGGATATGCGTATGGAAATGTCAAGACGCACAAGCCTGGAAACCCACTTCGGCCAATCATTAGCCAGATACCCACACCCACGTACAGATTGGCAAAGCGACTCAACGGCCTGCTGACTCCTTATGTTCCTTGCGCCTTCAGCCTGAAGTCTCCAAAGGAATTTGTGGACTTACTGCGGGGCGCACGGGCCACAGGGATAAGAGCCTCGTTGGACGTAGAATCGCTGTTTACCAACGTACCTGTGGACGAGACAATCGGAATGATAGCCGACAGAGTGTATCGTGATCCAGCCTGTACTCCTCTTGACATGCCAGAAAGTATTCTGAGGAAACTACTCCAAGCTTGTACTAAAGAGGCACCCTTCTTGAGCCCGGATGGGCATATGTATAAGCAAGTAGATGGGGTCGCTATGGGTTCTCCCCTAGGTGTCCTGTTTGCAAACTTCTACATGGGTACCATCGAGCAAAAAGTCTTAGTCGACATGAACTTGAAACCGGCCATATACTGCAGGTATGTTGACGACATTTTTACACAGGTACCTGATGTCAGACATCTGCAGGAGCTGAAGGAGGCATTTGAGCAGAGTTCCGTGCTGCGTTTCACTTACGAGACGGAAAAGGATGGGAAGCTGCCTTTTCTAGATGTAACAGTCATGGAAAAGGGCGGAGGTTTCCACACTGCAGTCTACACAAAGGAAACAAACATAGGAATGTGCCTAAATGCCAACAGCGACTGCCCTGACAGGTACAAGAGGAGTGTTGTTAACGCATACGTCGACCGTGCTCTCAGCCACAGCTCAGAATGGAAGCAAGTCGACGAAGAACTCTGTAGGGTAAGGCAGGTTCTAGTCAATAACGGCTTCTCCAATGGTTTCATCGAAGACATCATAAGAAGGAAAGTGAAAAGCCATGCAACCTCCGAAGAGACAACTAACACAACACCTATACCCCCTATTAGACTATTTTACAGGAACTTCTTTTCCACAGCTCATAAAACAGAGGAAAGGGTCCTGAAAGATATTGTTAATAGAAACGTTATCCCTACAGACAAAAATCAGAGGATACAACTGACGATTTACTATAAAACCAGAAAAACGGCCAGCCTACTCATGAGAAACTCTCCAGACACGAAACAGAACGCTTTAAAAGAGACTAACGTCGTCTATGCCTTCAAATGCCCACTTGGGGACTGTAAGCTCCAAAAAACCCAGTATATAGGCAAGACAACAACATCTCTTTCTAGGCGTTTAACGATGCATAAACAACAGGGCTCCATTAAGGAACATATAATCTCTTCCCATAACCAAACCATCGCCAGAGAAATCCTAGTAAACAACACAGAAATCATCGATAGATACAGCGATAGCAGGCGGCTTGACGTTTGCGAGGCACTACACATCAAGAAGTCAACACCAGCAATCAACAGCCAATTATTGCACAACTATATTCTACCCACCTCAAGACTCCGCTCCAATATAGAAGCATCAAGAAATATGGACCAATAGGCTTTCTACAAACACTTCTATTCAATATCCATTGTTTCGTGTTCTGTCTTGTGTTGATACTTTTAATACCCTATTAATATCCTCTAATGCCACATCATCCTTCCCACCTCACTCAAATGTAGATATAAAATCAGGGAAACGCAAGTTCTAATCAGTTGTGTATTTGTGAAGTCTTTGAAAATGTAATAAGTTTTACGAAACGCGCCCGTGTCGCGTCAGACTAGAAATAAAAATGAATTTTGGAGAAGTGATTTTTGATTTACCTCCAACAGTGAAGCATAATGTACGAAAGATTGAGAAAATTCGTGTTAGAATTATTAATCTTACTTTTTCGGTCATATTTAATAAAATATGTCTACAGGAAAGACTGCTACCAAAATATACTAATATATATATATATATATATATATATATATATATATATATATATATATATATATATATATATATATATATATATATATATATATTTACGAAATAATAATTTTGTACTATTAACTTGTTAGAGTTTAGGGGGTGTAGTATGGAGCCTCACAGTACACCCAGTACACAGGGTAGTGTACTGGAGCCTCACAGTACACCCAGTACACAGGGAAGTGTACTAGAGCCTCACAGTACACCCAGTACACAGGGAAGTGTACTAGAGCCTCACAGTACACCCAGTACACAGGGAAGTGTACTAGAGCCTCACAATACACCCAGTACACAGGGAAGTGTACTGGAGCCTCACAGTACACCCAGTACACAGCTGGGTAGTGTACTGGAGCCTCACAGTACACCCAGTACACAGCTGGGTAGTGTACTGGAGCCTCACAGTACACCCAGTACACAGGGTAGTGTACTGGAGCCTCACAGTACACCCAGTACACAGGGTAGTGTACTGGAGCCTCACAGTACACCCAGTACACAGCTGGGTAGTGTACTGGAGCCTCACAGTACACCCAGTACACAGGGTAGTGTACTGGAGCCTCACAGTACACCCAGTACACAGGGAAGTGTAGTGGAGCCTCACAGTACACCCAGTACACAGGAGAGTGTAGTGTGGAGCCTCACAGTACACCCAGTACACAGGGTAGTGTACTGGAGCCTCACAGTACACCCAGTACACAGGAAAGTGTAGTGGAGCCTCACAGTACACCCAGTACACAGGGGAGTGTAGTGTGGAGCCTCAGAGTACACAGGGAAGTGTAGTGGAGCCTCACAATACACCCAGTACACAGGGGAGTGTAGTGTGGAGCCTCAGAGTACACCCAGTACACAGGGAAGTGTAGTGGAGCCTCACAGTACACCCAGTACACAGGGTAGTGTACTGGAGCCTCACAGTACACAGGGTAGTGTACTGGAGCCTCAGAGTACACCCTGTACACAGGGGAGTGTACTGGAGCCTCAGAGTACACCCTGTACACAGGGGAGTGTACTGGAGCCTCAGAGTACACCCAGTACACAGGGGAGTGTACTGGAGCCTCAGAGTACACCCAGTACACAGGGGAGTGTACTGGAGCCTCACAGTACACCCAGTATACAGGGGAGTGTACTGGAGCCTCACAGTACACCCAGTATACAGGGGAGTGTACTGGAGCCTCAGAGTACACCCAGTACACAGGGGAGTGTACTGGAGCCTCAGAGTACACCCTGTACACAGGGGAGTGTACTGGAGCCTCAGAGTACACCCAGTACACAGGGTAGTGTACTGGAGCCTCAGAGTACACCCTGTACACAGGGTAGTGTACTGGAGCCTCACAGTACACCCAGTACACAGGGGAGTGTACTGGAGCCTCACAGTACACCCAGTATACAGGGGAGTGTACTGGAGCCTCACAGTACACAGGGTAGTGTACTGGAGCCTCACAGTACACAGGGTAGTGTACTGGAGCCTCACAGTACACCCAGTACACAGGGGAGTGTACTGGAGCCTCACAGTACACCCAGTATACAGGGGAGTGTACTGAAGCCTCACAGTATACAGGGGAGTGTACTGGAGCCTCACAGTACACAGGGTAGTGTACTGGAGCCTCACAGTACACCCAGTATACAGGGGAGTGTACTGGAGCCTCACAGTACACCCAGTATACAGGGGAGTGTACTGAAGCCTCACAGTATACAGGGGAGTGTACTGGAGCCTCACAGTACACAGGGTAGTGTACTGGAGCCTCACAGTACACCCAGTATACAGGGGAGTGTACTGGAGCCTCACAGTACACCCAGTATACAGGGGAGTGTACTGGAGCCTCACAGTATACAGGGGAGTGTACTGGAGCCTCACAGTACACAGGGTAGTGTACTGGAGCCTCACAGTACACCCAGTACACAGGGGAGTGTACTGGAGCCTCACAGTACACCCAGTATACAGGGGAGTGTACTGGAGCCTCACAGTACACAGGGTAGTGTACTGGAGCCTCACAGTACACAGGGTAGTGTACTGGAGCCTCACAGTACACCCAGTATACAGGGGAGTGTACTGGAGCCTCACAGTATACAGGGGAGTGTACTGGAGCCTCACAGTACACAGGGGAGTGTACTGGAGCCTCACAGTACACCAACACACTGCGGAAACATTCACCCTCTTGTTTATTGATTTTCAATCGTGTTCTTGCAGGGGCTCTCCGTCGAAGTCAACACCCATTTGCTTATAGGACCACGCTACTGTGTACTGTATGGCCACCGTCGCTAGGTACTGTGACCGTGACTGGCGCTACTCCTCCAGACACACCTACAGACTATGCTTCAAGAGTCGAGCTAGGAGAGTCACCCCTCTCAAACATCATGACAGAAACACAAGCAGGTGTGGGGGGGGGGGGTGTGGGGGTGTCTAACGTTACCAGGAGCTCGACGGCGCTTCCCGAAGCCCCTTCGGAAGACCAGTGAAGTGTGGTTTGGCATGATCGCGGCGCATG